CGCATCCATCATTCTATCTACCATGCAATGGCTGCCTTTCAAAATGGCGAGTGATGAATGGGAGTAACTTTTAAAATTCAATGTCAAATGGGATGGAAAAATTATATGGTAACTTGGAGACTTTTCAAAGTTCAATCTAGTCAAAGTGAACGTACGTTGTACGTTATTTTGAAATGTTTTATAAATGTTGTGAAAGTAATATATGACCCTTCTTTTATCTTTTTGATCTAAATATAAAAGAAATGCAAGCCCCTGAAAATAAATGTTAATTATTATACACGCACGTAAATAATGAAATGCATACTTGAATGTGAGTATTACAATTATAACTAAATACATAAATGAAGATGAATGGCAAGTACGATACATGAATTAACGTGAATGTTAATTAATTTATATACGTGATGAATGTTAAATCATTTATATGAAATGAATATAATTTAATTTTCAATTAAGTGAAACTTGATTCTAATTAGCATACATGGACGTGAATAATGAATTGCATTCTTAAATTTGAAATTCTAATTAATAGTAATTAAATGAATGTAAATGTTATTTAATTGAGAATTAATAACAAAGGTATGGATGCGAATGTGAATGTGAAATTCTAATTAATATTAATTAAATGAATGTAAATGTTAATTAATTTAGAATAATTATAGTATTTATTTAAATTAAATAAATCTTGAAAAAAGAAAAATAAAATATTATTGAAATAATTGAATTGTAGTAGGACTATAATCGTCCAAAAATTGATTCTCACTTGATGTGACATTTAATATACTAGGCAAATACGATAAATGAATTAACGTGAATGTTAATTAATTTAAGATTAATACCAAATAATATATATGTAACAGTGAATGTTTATATTAAATTAATTTAATTTAATTTTCAATTAAATGAACATGGACGTTAATCAACATACATGGTCGTGAATAATGAACTGCATTCTTGAATGTGAAATTTTAATTAATATTAATTAAATAAACGTGAACGTTAACTAATTGTTAATAACAAGGACATAGACATGAATGTGAAATTTTAATTAATACTCCTTCCGTCCTAATTATATAAGCTGGTTTGGTTTTTCATACTGATTAAGAAAACATCTTTAATGTTATTGGGAAATTAATTTTTGCCAAGATCTTTCCTAATTTACCCCTATTTAATTTTTAGTATGTAAAAAACTAAAATATTGTTGGAATTAATAAAGAATTTGAATAATGTCAATTGATGAGAATCATTGGGAACATTAACTTTTGTTTTTTTTTTTTGAAACATTTAAAAAGTTTAAATTGTAAAAACTTGAATCATGGCACCTAAAACGCCAATGTTTGAAATTGTAAAAAAAAATTAACAGAACACGCCAAAAAATTCAAATAGGAAAAAATTTTCACTGGAAATGCAGATTTTTGAAACTGAAAAAAAAAATTTCAAACAGAGAACGCCAAAATTTCAAACTGAATACGCCATTTTTTATTTCAAACTTTTTCATTGCACGTTATAAATACCCAGACGGATGCAGATTTAAGCACAAGTAACAAACATGAATACTACATCAAACAAATTTTCCCTTGATTTGAATTTGTTGCCTGAAAATGAGCCTACACCAAATGATAATAATTCCCATGTTCTATAGAATTTTCAGATTGATTTGAATCAATTTCCGAAAGATGTTACAATGGCTGACAATATGCATCATCCAAACAAGAAAACAAATTTATCCAGTGATACAAGAAGAGCAATTTTTGAGATGCTAATCAGTGAACGACAAGATGGAAAGTTACAAAAGGCATGACGTAAAATATTTTAGTGCTACAAATAGTGATGTGCCAGATTTTTCTTTTAGGCTATTGAATAGGAGATGTCGAAAGAGAGTCGAAATACATTTCGAACAAATGAAGGACATCTCTTTCCGTTGTCGAACAAATATAAGATCTTTGGCGAACGCTTTGGATATGTCGAAATCAACCGTACATAGGAGAGTCAAAGAAGGACATATTCGTCCACATTCAAATCCGGTGAAATCATATTTATCGGACGAGAACAAGAAAATATGGTTGGAATTTTGCCTATTAATGGTAGATGAAAGTACCCTCGCATCTACACCTACTTTTGTTAACATGCATAACCAAATTCATATTGATGAGAAGTGGTTTTATATGTCCAAGACAT